CAGGGTGTTCTTAATCATGCCTTTGTTGTACTTTTTGTTGTTGGCTTTTTGTTGTACTCTTTGTATGTTTTCGTGTGTCGATTAAAAGTTAATAATTGAGGGGTCGCCTAGGGGCTGTGTGTCTAGGGGGGGGCCCAAGCAAAGCCTATAGAAAATTAATCGAGGGCCTACCTAGGGTCGATAAATATTCATCAACACGGTACCAGCCCCCCTCAATTAGTTTTTTATATTAATTGAGGGGGGCCCCCACCAGGGCCCCCTTTAACGCAGGGGTCATCTTTTCTCAGCATTCCCCCATACCTCTCACAGCTTTGGTCTACGGCTTCTACGCTCCCTACTTCTTATTCTCACTCATACTGCGCTTCGGACTTCTCCTTCACGTTGGTTTGCTATGCGTTTTGGTTGGTTTGCGAATGTACGTGTTCTTTGCCACAGGAACTTGAATCATTGTTTAAGCATGATGTTCAAACTTGTTTATCATGTTTTATCCAAGTCTTGCTGGAAACATTGACCGCACCAGTCTCAGTGCGCTTGCAGCTTTGCGTGTCTTTCCACGACAACATTATCATGTTGCAACGTGGCTGTCAACACGTTGTATTTCCGATCGCTCTTTCTATATATTATTTCGTACATTTTACTTTGGCGTCTGAGTAAGTTTCCAGTGTAGTCCCGGCTGGTGCAGAAAGAGGAGAAAAGAAAGGAACACTGGCGACGGATTCCAAAATTACGTCCCTTCAAAAAATCCGCACCATGACATTTCAATCCACTATAACATGAAAGTAATGCACATAATCAGGCCGCATTTGTTGTTTCTAGATTCTAGAGCAAAAAGTTGGTATTACTGTGAAACATCCCGGCTTCATGTCATGGCTACTTGTAAAAACAATCATAATTGTCACATGTGACATCATGTGACTAACATTCTTGCAAGCAGATGCACTTCATTCAAGTTATCACCCAACAAGACAGTCACAGAGAACACATGGTAATCTATATACAAAGAGCTGGTGTTTGAGGTCCGGCGGGGAACACTGCCACGCGGCCCTCGCAGTTGAGGTCCAGCGGGGAACGCTGCCAAGCGGAACTCGCGGTTGAGGTCCGGAACACTGCCAGCTAGCCGCTAGCGGTTCGGCGGGGAACGCTGCCATCCGGAGCTGGCGGAGGAGCGGCGGCGGAGGAGGAGGAGGAAGGCAGCTGACATATAGTGGATTCTATTGTCTATAGTAGCTCTTCGTATTCTTTCGCTTACAGTCTTGACATTATGAGACGCTAGTAGAGGATCCTTGATGCCCCCCACAAATTGCGCACACAAAAGCACTAGCTTGGTCAGTTCTCTGTGTGTTTCAAGGCCTTCGCCGACAGTCTTGACATTGGGCAAAGCTAAAAAAGGATCCTAGATATCCCCTGAATTGTCAAAAAACATCGAAATTCGCGCGCTCTGGCTCACTGTCTTGACATTTGTATTACTTTTTATATCCATTGCCAACCTTACCGTCTTTACATCCAACTTGGGTCTAGGCCACGGTCCCCAGCAAAGACTTTGGAACTTACTATAACAACCCTCGCCCTCACCTGGCAGGTGGGAAGAAAGTTGTTTTGCGAGCTGGGGACAGCAGCACTTACGGTAACCCCATCCTTTGCTTTGATGTAAAGCGACAAGGCCCCCTAAAAAAAGATAGCGCAAGGTCGCAGTGGGCACCACCGGACCCCAACCGCAAGCGCCAGACCGCAGGGGCGCAACACACAACCGCAAGACACAACGGCAAACACACGACCACAGCACACAAACGCAAAAACACAACCACAGCACACAACCACAGCATCTGCGTGTATGTGTCTACGTGTTGATGTGAGTATCTGTGCATCGGTGACTTCAGTGACATTCCAACGGCCTTGTTCAAATAAAGGGGGAGGGACAAGGGGACACGAGAAGGGAAAGGGAAAAGGAAAAGGACAAGGAAGAAGAAATGGAAAAGGAAAAGAATGGAAAAGCAAAAGGAAGAGGAACAGAAAAATGACAAGCGAAACGGAAAGGAGAAGGAGGAAAGGAACAGGAAAGAGGCAAGGAAACGCACAGGAAAAGAAAAGGAAACGGAAAAACTAAAATTAAAGGAAAAAAGGAAAAGGCGCAGAAACGGAAAAGGGAAAGGAACATGATAAGGAAAAAGAACACTGTGACACATGGTTACTGTGCTGTTCAATGGTGCAGCAAGCCTCAACACCTGTCCCATGACTCCCATGACCATGACCATTTTCCAATTCCAACTCCAGTGTGACAGGCTCAACGAAGGGTTCAAATTGTCAGACTGAGTTCAAAAACAACGAAGCTCAAAAGGAAAAGGAAGCGAAAAAGGAAACGAAAACGGACAAAGCAAAGGACAAGGAAAGGGAAATGGGAAGGGAAAAGGAAAAGGGGCAAGGAAAAAGAAACGATAGGAAAAGGACAAGGGCAAGGAAATGGAAAACGAAAAGCATACAGGTAGGTATGCCAAGCGAGGTGACTTTAGTGACATTCTAATTCCTTTGTTGCCAGAAAAGGACAGGGCAAGGGGACAGGAGAAGGGAAGCGGAAAAGAAACGATAGGGAAAGGGAAAGGGAAAGGAAAGGGAAAAGATGAATAGCAAAAGGAAGAATAACAGAAAAGGACAGGCAAAAAGAAAGGGAGAAGGAAGAGGAACACGAAAAACGGCCAAGGAAAGGAACAGGAAAAGAACAAGGAAAGGGAAACATTAAAATGAAAAGGAAAAAGGAAGAGGAACGGAAAAAGGAAGGACAAGGATAGGGAAAAAGAACACTATGATTGCGACGCATGGTTTCTGTGCTGTTCAATGGGGCAGCAAGCCTCAATACCTGTCCCATGATTATTTTACAGCTCAAATTCCA